CCTCTTTTGGTGACACTGCTGTCCATCCTGGTTATAAGGAATTTCAGCACTTGCTTTAGAAGGGCTATGTTACTAAGCACTTTCAATATAACTGCAATTTAAATAAATGGAAAAGGAAGACTGCATCCCAACTATAGAGAATGTCAGGAAACTACAGAATTGCAGATTTGATAGATAATTGCTTTAATACACTGAGAGGTTTATGTTCCTCTTTGTCCAAAGAAATCCTACTATGCTTGGTTTTAAATTGTGATGCCAGGATCTTTGACTTGCTCTGCTTTATCCAAATATTTTTAATCTGCTCTATTGTTACGCTGTTGGCTTCCTCCTATTTTAAGGTTAAATTAAAAATCAACTTCTATACAGAAAATTGTGAGTGAGTGCTATGACCTGCATCTTCCTGAGATACTGCTTGAGAATGCAGCTACTCAGACTTCGCACATCTAAGCAAAAATCCTGGGAAGCACCTCAAAATTTGCCCTTAGCACATCCATCACAAAATTCATGTTTAAATAGACGTGAGAAAAACTTGCATACAGCTTAATATTCTTCAATAGTCAGTTACAAACTGTGAAGAGAAGTGATTTTTCTCTTTTCACTTTAGTTCACGCAGTCAGCCAAACACAAAATTTTAGCTGCTAAAATATTAATTTTTTGCTGTTTGTTTTCTATTACAGAACTCAATATACATATTTAGAAGTACAAAAATGAGGCAAATCTCTTGGCAGTAGCACATAGCTGTTGAATTCTCAGCATCAGTCAGCCATTGTTGCAGGCTACATGAAGTCCATGTAAAAGAAGGGAGAAAAGACAAGACTGCCAGCTAGTCAAACCTCACACCAAATCCTCCAGAAAACAGCAAGTACTCAGGTGAAACCTCCCATGTCTATGCAGAGATGGCCATGGTATATAATATCTAAGGTAGAGCAAAGCAGCAGGACAGGATTCCAGCAAACTCTGGAAGGCCATCTCTTTGCCATACATCTCTGAAAATTTTCTCTTATGGGAACCACCCTCTGCAGTCTCACAGCCAGTAGAAACATGAGACTTGGTCGACAGTACCAAAAACTATCTAAACCACATTGTGAATAAGGTCTTGGGCTATTCTCTGTAATGACACACAAATTTGAAGCATCGTAAGATCATTATGAAATAGCTATGTTAACAATTAAAAATAAGTCCAAGGAGGTAGAAAAGTTCAGTCTGGCATCTTTGCTTGTAAGCAGAAAACTTCTAAATATGTGGAAAATAGAATGAATACATATTCCAGAATCATTCAGGTCAGGAGAGAACTTGACATAAGAAAACCAATTTTGGGACTTGAATTTTTCTCCTCAAGGCATTGCTATTGCAAGGAAGCAAGGGTAAAATGTTTACGTTGTTCAATACGTAAGAGAACAGGAGGTTTGGGTGAAGTATCCATTCTGTAAAAAGCATGAAGATGACTGCACATGACTAGGTAAGGTTTATATATATGTCCTAAGTATACTGATCTGTGCAAGAACTCTCTCAGTTTATATACAATAGGCGTGGAAAGAGATGAGTCTATTTGCCATTAATGATGTTAGGAATGGGGATGCAGTATAGCTATATGAGAGGAATCTGAACATTTATCTGGTGTTCTACTTACCAGAGGAATAATACATGATGCCGCAAGTTCCTTCCAAAAGCTAGGCTACCACATTATGTATCATGTAAACATGAGGCATTAAATAGAAAATTTCTGCTGGGCTCTTAAAGAAATATTTTCAACCAGATTTGTAGTACCAGTCTTGCAAAAAGCCAAATGGTCAAGGTGCTCTTTAAAAGTCTTAGACATGGTGGTATATAAATCTAAAACCTGCAGAAGATGTGAATAGCTACAGCACAGCCTACAAAATAGCAATCAGGACAAAAAGTAGGAAAATTTAAAGGCAATCAAGTAAATTCATGGGGAGGGATAATGAAGCTGTTGACACAGACTTTGGTTGAGAAGATCCTGAATTACAGGTTGCCAGAACTTAGGTGGCTGTAATGCAGAACACACACTTGGTTGTCTCCTTCCCAAGCCATTCCCCTAGCTGTCTTACCAACACCTGCTGGAAAACCTCCAGGACCTCCTGGACCTAAAGCAACCTGACAGAGTAAATACACTTGATAGCAAATTGTTTAATGTGGATGGCTTGAATTCACAAGGTCAAGAATTTAAGATAATTTACTGCCATTTGTCATGCTGGGGAAGTGAAAGAAACCAGATATTTCTATAGATAATATACTTAGTTATGTTGTGGGCTGAACAGCAGAGGTTGCATTTGCTTGTGGAAGTAATGAATTCTCCAGTTCTGATATTTTCTATAGTGAAGGATGTATTTCTATAATGAGGGATAGAAGCAATTAGTCTATATACAGGAAATATTTTATGTCGCTGAAAGAAGAACCATCACAAATAGTCCATTTTATAAGTTAAATGAATCCTAGGAGTGATATGCTGTCCAAATAAATGTGTCATTATTCCATAAGAAATATTATATCTTTTAAATTAATTGAGAAGTGAAGTCATCTGGCACTGGAGCAGAACATAATAGCAGTTATTTAACAGATTGAAACAACTCCCATCGAATCACTAGTACTTATCTCCTTTGATGTAAGTAACCCAACTATTGTAGGAGCAGATGTTAGTGACTGTAGATTGAGGGAACTACTACTGAAAGGACAGGATGTTGTCCTGAAGTCGGTTGCTTACTGTTTAATGATGATGAATTATACAGAAAGTAGTTGTTCTGAAATTGAACCTGTTTCTTCTTAGGCACAAATATAGGAATAATCCTGAAGGATGAGTGTCTTATGAACTTGTTCCTGAATACATGCAGCTCATGTGAGGATAAACAGCTATGCCTTGGATAATACGATATCAACCTTTCAAGCTTACTGACAGTGTAATGGATTTTTGGTGGGGTGGCCGTGGGATGAAAAAAAAGGCAAAAAAAAAAATCAGGAAGAAATTGAATTCAATACTTGTCACAACTCTTTCAGTAAAATTTTGGAGAAAAAAAATTAAAAAGTTCAGCTTGTATCAATATTTTAAAAAAGAAAATCTTTGTTATTTCCAAGATAATTGAAATATTTTTACTTACAATGATTATGGTGAAATTTACCTGAGAAAAGGGGCCCCTTTGCCTGCTACAAAACCTGCTAATTAGCACTTAAGGTCACAAGTTCTGCAGGGGGAGTTATGCAACAGGGCAAGGATTTCCTTTCTTCTGCATCAGGAGGCAAATCAGGAGGTACAATCAGGACTCGGACCACACAGCAGCCCCCCATGTGGTCCTGATACTGCTTTGTGGGTAAGGTACAGTTCTGCCACCACTGTCCAGAATGAGGGCACAGCAGCCGCAGCGTGGTGAGGAGTCTGTCTGATGCTTCTTCCCTCCTGAACTGTTAGGAAAAGATATCAAATTCTCTACAAATTAAGCCAATCTGAGAAGGTTCAGAGGTAAAATGTAGGGCTTTCCATTAGAAGGAGACATTATTCGATCAGAAACGTGATCAGAGGGCTCAGTCAAATAGGAACCAAGCTCAAAAGGACTTCAGAGAATGCATGGCTAAGGCTCAAAGGCCCTGCAAAGTTTGACTTCTTTCACTGTGCCTCTGCATCCTTTGACATAGTCAGCCAGCCAAAAAAAATTAACCTTTAAATCAGTCTTACAGATTGGCACAGCAGAATTGGCAGCAAATGTACTTGGCAGCAAGAGTTCTCATGGAGAACGGCAGGGCTTGTGTTTGTTACTCAGTTGGGTCCTTCGCGGGTTATTTCTGTATTTACGTTGATGGGAAATATATGAACATGGCATTTTGGATTAACACATAGTCATTTTCTACAGATTAGAACTAAGGGACTTGTGGGTACTTTTCATGCTGCGTTAGTGAGAGGGATAAATGAGGCCATGCACACCTTACAGCAGTGCCCCAGCAGGATGGAATCTTAAACAAGATGAAGAAGACAGTCACAGGAGGAAAATGTCAAGGATATTGCACCGTGAACAGAGAAGTTGTTTTGCAATGCAAATATAAAAAAAATCAGTATCTAATGGGGAAAAAAAATTACTGACAAGACAGTTCTATGAACTGGCTATTGTTGTTGTCAGGTTTTTAATTTTCCTTGTAATCTACATCTACTATTTTAATTATTAGATTAATAAGAATTTATTGTTTTATGCATTAGAGAACAATCTTGTTTTAACTAGCATGGACACACTGTTGTTTTCTAGGTGGTCTATTATTATGGTTTAGGCTGTTTGAAGGTTCGTTGTTAGACTTCTGTTGGAAAATGCCATTCTCTAACAAAAAGGAAATTAGATATTGGCATAAGGATTAATTATGACTACTGAGAGCTAAATTGATAAATGAAGACTTTCAGAAGTTATTTCAGCTGTAGAGATCGGGTGATGTCTCATTAAATACCGCAGCCTTTAGAAGTAATATGGTGGCTGATCACTTTAAAAATCCCATAGTAATTAAAATTTTGCTTTTCTGCACTATATTGAGCTCATTTCAGAAGTACAGTGGCACACATAACACTAGACCTATTGTCATGTTTAAAACAATCTGTCCTTTTCAATTGTTTACAACTTACACTGGCCCTGCCTTCCTCCTCTTTTTTTCATATTCCAATTGTTTGCACAGCTTCTTCAGAGCATGCATAAAGTACTATACTTCTCTGTTTGGACCTCAAGTTAGTGCAATCAACTGTATCTCTGAAGAGATCTGCTTCTGATAGAACTGATCGGAATTTCTCTCAATTGGAAAGAAACAACAATTGTGAAAAATCACAGTTTTGCCAGTATTATGAGTCTATTTTTTTTCATGTGCCGTATAACTCTTTAGATGAATTATGCAGCCAAACTCACTGAGAAAGCATCAGATTAGGTATTCCCAAATAGCTCAATCAGTGACCAGATACTGTTTTACAGTACTTTTTTCTATGTCATGCAATGTATTCATATATATATATTAATTTCTAGATGGCTACCCTAAAGAGGAAATGATATACAGATGGAGGAAGAACTCTGTGGAGGCTGCTGACCAGAAATCTTGGAGACTCTATCAGTTTGACTTTATGGGTCTCAGAAACACTTCAGAAATTGTGAAAACCTCTGCAGGTAAGAACAATACAAATGGTAGTGCTTGTTTTGGAAAAAAAAAAAAAAAATAAAAATCTCGAAGTATTTGTTCCAACTTTGCTTTCATTCAAGTGCAGCTTGATTTCAATGCATACCAATGTTCGTATTAAAACCTCTGAATTACAAACTTCAAAACTATTGACTTTCTCTAGATTTTTGATATCTTTTTCTGTACTCTTTTAATAATTTCACAAACTGAAGAATAAATGTTAACTTGACATGGCTGCTTGTTAGACACTTGCAGTTACTGTATGATTCTCAGTCCTGAGCTGAGTTTTTTAAACCATTCCTGCATTGAGCTATATGTTTTCACCATAAATTAAAGAGAAAGATTTTGAGCACAATGGTAGGGTAAGTAAAATGAGACACTTTCAATAGTGTCTAATTATTCAGCCACAAGTTTAGTATTTTTCTGAATAGTTCAAAGACACTCTTCGTTTCTCAGTTGATAAATGCCTTTGCTACCAACCTTACCAATTGATTGTAGTTAACATCTAATGATGCCTATTTTATTTCTTCAGAAATCTTGCTGTTTCAAGAACAGCGACATAGGGAAAAAAGGTATATAAATAGAATACATTATTTGAACTGGATAAATTATCATAAAATTCAAGCAATTTTGAATCCATGACTCTACAGTAAGCTCCATGATTACCATTTGTGAGTCTTCTCCCAGCTGCTGAAGGAACCTCCTAGAAGCAACCTTCTGTTTAACTGCTGGTGAATGTTTGAAAATTATTAATTATTTTTTTTCTTCAAAATGTAAGCAGAGCTGTGTTATTCTTTTGGAAATACTGTGAATAATAGCAATAATAAAAAAATTATTAATCTCTGAATCTAATGCTGTTGGGTCATGGCCCACCCACTAACATCAGCAATGTTCTCAGGACTGGATAGCAATTTTTGTAATGAAAAGTCACTAAAGCTTTAGTGGGTATTTTGGGCTCATGGTTTAGCAGCACGTAATGTTGCAAACAGCTCACATGTAGAAGTTGTCTTCTGTTATGGATAAAAATCCTTGTAGTCTGTAAGTTTCTCAGGAATGCAAATTACCCATAAGTTGAACCAGGAGTTGGTGGATAGCAGTCAAGCACAAGATACCAAATCACTAAAGTATCTGTGTATGTGGTTTAACCCCAGCTGGCAACTAAGCCCCACCTAAGCACTCGCTCACTTCTCTAGAGTGGGATGGGAAAGAGAATAAGAAAATTGAAAAGGAGATTACTCATGTGTTGAGATAAAGCCAGTTTAAGAGGTAAAGCAAAAGCCATGCATGCATGCAAGGCAAAACAAGGAATTAATTTGCTGCTTCCCATGGGCAGGCAGGTGTTCAGCCATCTCCAAGAAAGCAGGGCTCCGTCACATATAACAGTGACTTGGCAATACAAACAGCATCACTCCAAACATCCTCCCTTCCTTTTCCCCCCCAGCTTTGTGTGCTGCGCACGACCCCAAATGGTATGGGATATCCCTTGGTTCAGTTGGGTTCAGCTGTCCCAGCTGTGTCCCCTCCCAGCTCCTTGTGTACCCCCAGTCCTCAGTGGTGGGGTGAGGAACAGAAAAGGCCTTGACCGTGTGTAAGCACTGCTCAGCAGTAACAAAATCAGCACAAATCCAAAACATACCCCCCATACTTGCTAGTGTGAAGAAAATTAACTCTATCCCAGTCACGACCATCACAGGAACTCATTGGAAGCAATGGTAGAAATAGGAGACAAAGCCCTGCTCTCCCTGCTTTGTTCATCTGGAGTGATGCCATTGTGAGTTTACATCAAGAGCTGCAAAATACACATGCTGCAAACAGCAATCCTCCACTAACAGGAGATAGATTCAAACCCCTAACATCTTCTTTTGCTTCTGACTTACACCTTTCTGATGATTTGTGACAGTATTCTCACTGAATTGTGTGTTCACCCATAACATGAAAGCTGCCACAGCTTTTTATTCAGCAGTGTTCTGGCTATAATAAAGGGAGGTTGCACTGACCACACGGCAACACACTGCTGTTTTTCCAGAATTTGTTAGTCCTTTCTTGGTAGTAATTCTCACCACAAAATTACTAGATTTAGTACTCAGCAGAGTTCTGTTTTACTTTCAGTCTTTCCAAACCTTTTTCAGACATCTAAATGACTTTTATGTTAATCTAGGGCAATTTCAGAGGTAGGAAGCCAGCTGTCACAAGGAGTGTATTCCTGAAATCTGAGCAAGATGAGAAATGTTGTCATCTCTTATCTTGAACCAGCAGTAGCTTAAAGCATTTCCAGAGAGGTGTGCTTTACTCTTGCAAGAAAAGTATCCTCTTTTACAAATTTTGGCAGCGAGAGAATCTTTTCATTGCCATCTGGAAGAGGTATTCACTTTTTCTTCACGATTTTTTTTTTTTTAATTTCATGCTAAGATACAAACTCAAGCAGATAAACATCTACTGCATATGGTGTTTGCAGGGAATACACAGCAGAAATCACTGTGCCAGTGCCATGGTCATGAACCTTTATCTTACACCCTAAGTAAGCTCTCACTGACAGGTGATAGCAAACTAATTCACAAGTACTGAAGAATTCCCTTGTTGCCATCTGGCAAGATAGTCAGATAATATAGCAAGAGCACTATCTTGCTACAATGTCATATAAGGCTGACAAAGCTAATTAAAGTAGAGGGAATACCAAGCCACCTGTCAGTGATCTGGCGGGGGTGGGGGGGAAAGGAGGAATTGCATTTAAGGAGAAAATCCTCAAATTTTAAAACTGCAAATCAGCCAATGGAAGGGTGACCAGGAAAACAGGAGAGAGGAAGAACATCATCCTTAAAAGTACTCTGTGTGCATTTGCAGGAAAATTGAAGTTTCCAAGTCCTAGACTTCCCAAGTACACTTGGGGGGAGTGAAAAAAAAAACCAACAAAAACCCAAGACCCACCAAAAGCCACCAAAACAGGCTCATAAAGCGTAGAGGACTTCATGAGTGAAGCTCAAGGAGTGAACTCCAGTGTTTCTTGCAATTTTCTGCTGACATTTTCCCCAGGAAAAGTCTATTCTTTTTTAAAGCACTCACTCAGCTTAAATACTGCTAGATAAACACAAAGACTTTGTAGTTACTGAACCTAATTTTTGTTTACCTGAAAACTGCTTTGCATCGTACAAAAATCATGTTTTTGTTCTTCCTCAGACACCTTTAGCCCAGAAGATTTTTGCAGTCCAAAGGAGCCTCTGCATAAATAAGTTCAAGATAATTAATCAGAAATAGAAAACACCATAAAAGTGCCCTTTTTAAAAACCATAATAATTTCAACTTAAGTGTACCAGAGGGAAAGTACCATTTCATGCATTGTGAATAACCCTGAAACATAAATACTGAAACCTAATAAATAGCCATAACTACTGTCATAAAAAGGTACATGCTTGCATACATATAATGGATGGGTGATGATTAGTGGAGTCTGCCTGTCATATGATTTCTAAATTGTGCTTTGTAGTTTGAAATTGCTGTTTCATCAGCTTACATGATGCTCTCTGCCCTATTTCACAGGGCTGCAAAGCAAGGTTAATATCTGTAGTCTCAGATTCAGGTAAAGCTCTTTGGGACAATGCTTAATAGCACCACAATTTAAAGTCCACACTCTGTTGCAGAGGATTTGGTAAATGCAAGTAAAACAAACTACCACAGAACAAAATTAAGAAAGTTTGTCTTTTAAGAAGATGTGAAGACCTACAAAAAGTAGCTATTTGTAGAAGAAGGAAGGAATAGACATGTGCTATAGGGAGGCCAGATTTCACTAGGGGAAACCCCCATCGAGTCATGGGATGGGTCACATGGAGAGAGCAATTAGCAAATGCTCCTTGACTTTGTCAGAAGACCAGCACACTCCCAGAGATTTACCCAGAGGGAAAGACACTCATGCACCTAGCTCTTCTACTAGGTTAGCAAAGAACATCTGGCTTGAGAAACCATTTCAAAATTGGCTTCTGCTTCCTTTTTGCTGTTAAGTGTTTTAACTTAGCTATAGGCACAGAGGGAACAACGAGGTCCCACACAAGGTCCACGCAGCTGTCCAGCCATCACTCCAGAGATCCGTGCTGATGGGACAGGACCACCACCCAGCACAGACATTGGATTTGCAAGGCAAAACCAGGGATGTCCGCATGCAGCTAAGCCCCTCAGCTTGGGAAAAGGGGTTGCAAGAGAAGTGCCAGAGAAGGATGGTCACAAGCTGATCAGGGCAACTGGACTGCCTGGACAGTGAGTGGAAGACAGTGCACAATATGCCATAGCTGCTGAATGTGGTTGTGTCTGTGCGTGTTTGTTTTTAAGGATCTGCTTCAGTCACACCCTCTTCTGTACCAGATAACTGATCTGAAGACATTTGTTTAATGAATATTCACGATACTTTGGGATTTTAAAGTAATTGACATTTTCTAATGTCCCACGGAGTCCTGATGGCACATCAGAGAGTGCTTGTTATTTGTGTGTTCTTCCCAGGGCAAATGTGATTTTTTTTATTATTTTTTTCCCCAAAATACCAATTTCAGTGGGATCCAGCACACGCTACCTCAGTCAGCTGTGCTGCACAGACTGTCTTTAATCAGATGGCATCCTGAAGCAGACAAGTGGAGACTCAGATAAACTGCACCACATCATTTGAAAACAATGCCTATTTTTACCTACCTGGCATTGCAGGAGCTTTGCCCCTTTCAGCAAGGGTATGTCACAGTTGCTTTAGTGGTCAGCCTTTGGTTTACAGCCCTCAGCAGACATACTCTGGCTTCCTATTGATTCTGGACAGTGTCCCCACCTCTTCCAAATACTGTCCTCTTGTGCCCTTATCCTGTCCTGCCTGATGTTTAGTGTGAGTGCAGAAGGAGAGAAAAAGAACATTTTTTTTTCCTGGCATGAATGGAGGAGTGGCTGGATTCCAACATCTCAGAACCTGCTTTCCTCTAATGCCAGACAGTATCTTCTGTGTGTCTGGCATTTGTGTGTGGAA